TTTTTTTTTTTTTTTTTTGGTACTGTCTCTTCCACGGAATCTAGTTTTCATGACATGCTGAGTTTAAAAAGACTTCATTCAATTACATAAGTCCACTTACATTTTTCACACTTAATGTGGAACGATTTTTTCCACTTAAGTCTTTAATTAGTTGGAGATTATTTCAGGATAAGGGGTGAGGTCAGACTATAACTTAATTTTCTTACTGATGAGTTAACCAGTTATCACAGTCCTACTGACTAAAAAGGTTACCCTTTCCCACGCTGATTTAAAAGCCATGTTTATCATGTACTAAATCCTCAAATATACTCAAATCTATTTCTAGACTTTATAGGCTACTTCACTGATCCAGCAGTAACACAAAGTTACTTGTCATAGATCTCCAGTATCTGGCAGAACAAGCCTCTATTTCTCTCAAGTCCAGCATTTCTTTTCCTTCGTATTTTCTGTCTGTAATGAACATCTCCATCTGGCTGTGAGCTGGAGCAGGGCACCATGGGAGAGGAGGCCGAGATGGAGGCAGTGGATGGGGCCTGGAGAGCCAGGCACCACATCCTGGAGTCTGGGCTTCATTCTCAAGGCCATGGAGAATTACAGGATGGAAACACAGAGTTATTATCTGTCACTTTAGTGTGGGAAATAGATAGGAGGAAGTTAGGGCTAGATGTAGGGAGACTGACAGAGTCAATCAATAATCCAGGTTAAAGATTACACTCAAAGAGTAGCAGTGAAAATGAAGAAAAGTGGACAGATCTGAGAGGTACTCAGGAGGAAAGGGCAACAGGATGAGGAGGGATGGGATTTGGGAGGCGCGAAGGAGTCAGAGCTACCTGAGGTATTCAGGAAGAACGGCAGGAGGCCAGTGAGAGACAGGGAAAGAGAATGAGGACAATGACTGCAGTAGTTTAGAAATGTGGTTACACCTAAAGGACCAGCTTTGCCATTTGTTGCTCTTGAGTTCCTGGATGTGAGTCAGTTAACCTCTGTGAGTCTATTTCCTGCATCTTGATTGGATTAAGTAAACTCTAGCATCACTTTCTGCTCCAAAATTTATCCTACTCTCCTCTGAGAGAGCGAGGCAGCCTAACTCCCTGTGGGGGTGCTGGGACCAGGCCAGCCACAGGCCACCGTCTGTTTCAAGTTTCCACGCAAACCTGGAAACAAGAGAGCTTCTGCAGGCCAAATATTCTGCTCCACAGCATTTCCTTGCTCACTTGCACTGTGCCTGCTACTCACTGTCTATGAAGCACTTTTCTTCCCCATCTGTGGGGCCCCAGTCCCTATTTCTGTGCCTTGGGCACATGCAAACAGAATGACCCATATCTGTTCTTAGATCACTGGTAAAAGAAATGTCAAACAGTAGGACCCTCAAAGAAGGAAGCCAGAATGACAGGGGAGTGCTGATTTTATTTTCCTTCTGTCAACCTGACAGAATTTTACTATTTGTTTTGCTGTTCTTGCTCTACAAAGATGTCATTTCATGTGGGGGTGGGGGTGGGGGCTGTTTATCATGAACAAATTATAAAATGTTTAATATAGAGAAGAAAAAAAATCACCTACCAGAGATAACAATACACCAAGTATATGTATATACTTAAAATATTTTTTTTTCAGCCAGAGATATAGCTCAGCAGCACAAAGTGTGCCTAGCAAGCACAAGGCCCTGAGGTCAATTCCTGGTACTGAAATTATATATATACATATATCCTTTCTTCCTTCCTTCCTTCCTTCCTTCCTTAGAACACCAAACAGAAAATCCAGCACGTAGTTTTACAGCCTACCTTTTTCATTTACTATTACTTTAGGGACCCATGTTTAAATGTGCTTTTCCAATCACTAATGTCACCTTTATTAGCCATCCAGACAAAGAAAGTCTGTCTGAGGAGTGGCCACTGCACCACCATCCCCACCTATCTGGGGGTCAGTTATGGCCAAGAAGATCCCCTGAGCAGCACAGCCACCCTGCATGGCCCGGCAGTGCTCTGGAAGTGGTGAGTTACCTGAGTTTCAGTTGTGACCGCACCTCTCCAAACTCCAGCTGGAGCAGTTCATTGTAACAGGCCATGATGCTGGGGTTTTCTATATACCTCTATAAACAGAAAGGGGAATTGTGTGGATGAATAAAGGGGTATCTTTGAATAATTATGTATGCCAATTAAAAATAATTCTAAATAAATTTCTTGATTTGGCAACTGAAATCTAAAAAATACTTCATTATCAGTAATAACAGACAGGAGATTAGAGATGGGACTTATACACACCAAATTACTTCTTTAACAATAAGATTTTCTTTCAGCGCCTAATGAGCACTTTCGATGCGTGCATATCACTGGTAAAGCAGAGAGGTTAGCAGATGTAGAGGAGGAAATTTATTAACCAGAGATGTAGTTGTATGAGGTTGTCAGAGTAAACTCAGGAACAATATTTTGTCCTCTTTACAGTCAGGCAAACTCCTGGTATGCAGAAGTACCCTTCCTTTCTACTGACCTGCAGGTTGGGGGCAACTTCTAGCCTGGAACATTTTCCTACACGCATTCCACAGTGGTGGAGTAGGAAATTAAAGCTAAAAAAGTGGGTTCCCAGCAGGCCACTCCCTGACAGCCAGACAGCTGAGGACTGGGGGCCACAAGCAGTTCCCTCCACTGCATGGTGAAGGCAGGTGCCCCTGTGTCGGGCAGTGATCAGGGTCTTGCCTGGGTGTCAAGCAACCTAAAAATCCAGCCCCAGCTTCTGCCTTAGAGGCTGTATGACCTGAAATGAGGCACTTCAACCCCCCATCCCAGCCTGCTTCTCATCTGTAAAAGAAGGGAAGTAGTAGTACTCCTCAAGAGACAGCTTACCATGAGGATGGAGATGATGGGAGCAGCATTCCACCTACACACTGCAGCACAAAGGTGAGGAACAGCTGGTACCATCTCAGGAGAGGAGGCAAGGCCGGTTGGCGGGGCCTGGGGCTAAGTCGCAGCCCTTCTCACCAGCAGGCTGACACAGGCCATACACTTCCCAGCCTTTATGGCTGATATTGTGGAAGCTGCTGGGCCCACTGCCCACATGAGCCAGGACCCCATGAGAATTCCCAAGAATGCTGCCATCTACACGGCTACTGACCACTGACCACGCAGGTGCAGGGGAAGAACTTGATACACACTGCTTGTGCCACCCCAACAGATGAGGGCTGGGGCTGTGAGACAGGCAGAGGTCTCTAGCAACATCTTGGGGTGGGGGCAGAGAACACATGTATTTATCCACTTCAACAGATGCCTCCCACGTGAACTTTTCATGGGTATGAATGTTACAGATCCACCAAAACTTTTTATCCCCAAGAGAGAAATCAAGGTAAAAAGAAGCTCAGCACACGTGACCACGTGAGGGGCATCTTGCTCCCACTGTCCATCCCTCCCCTCATCTCCACTTTGCCTTGAGTCTAAATGGCTCATCCCTGCCACTTCTTTCCAAGTTTCTTTTCTGTCCCAAGGACCCCACAGGGCATGCAGGGTAGAGAAGCAAGTTACTATTCCCTCTGCTTATGCAGCAGTAGTCCCTCCCCAGCCTTACCCACAAACCCTGCAGACCTCCCCAGGGACTCAACTCACTTTCCACGAGGCACATCACACCACAACTGGGACCTGCATCCCTCTGGAGCCTCACCCAGTGGCTCTCTACTCCTGGCCCCAGGTAGAATTACTCCCAATGTGAATAAAAATGTATCCAAGGACAGGCTCCTCCCCAGGCTGAGGAAGCAGGCTCTCCGGGGATGCTCTCAGGGAATGCTAATGCAACTCAGCACTGACACAAACCCCCATCCATGCCTGAGGGCCCAGTCCAGCTGAGGCAGGAAGCAGGCTCCCCTTCCACTCTGTGGCCCCGAATGGCTAGGTCACAAAATAGCTGGCAGTTCCTCAACACCAGCAATCTCAAGGTGGTGCGAGTTTTCAGTTTAAACTTTGGTACCACAGCCTGCACACTGGAAGACTAAGAGAGGCTCCCTTCCCACTAGGTCTAGCTGTGCTCAGCAACTTGCGCATCCTTCCCACTAGGTCCAGCTGTGCTCAGCAACTTGTGCATCACGTGCAGCTTAGGGACTCTGGATGAGAAGATTGGTATTTGGAGTCTCTGAGGTCTAGTCACCACGTTAGGTTACTTACCTACAAAACAGGGAGCCTGGTCCAACCTCCCACCCCCTCAACCAGTACCTTGAAAGTGCTATGAAGCTTTTCTGCTTCTGCACAGGGTGCTGGCCCTAACAGTGGCTTCTGTTGAGGAGTCAGGTGACACCTCAGTTGGTGGAATGGGCAAGAGGGCAGGAAGAGTGTGTCAGTTCTTTATGAATTTTCAAGTTATCTCCATGCTAAGAAAACATGAGGACTGTAATTTACTCGACCTTCTACCAGGATGCTCTTTCTAGTCCATCTGACTGTGCCGATGACTTCCTTATGCAGAATTTCAAACACAGTACTTTCCAAACACACAAATTTCCAACACTGAATCTATAGGCTTTCAAAGAGTCCACAAATAAATACAAGGTTTAGTGATCTTAGGTAGTTGCAGGTAAGCATATAACCACAAGGGCAGGGGTTATCGAATAATCGATACCCTAAATGTCATTAGAAAATGAACTATTCTGAGATCCTTGTGTAAAGCAACAGCTAGTTTTGCTGCCTCAGAGTGAAAATATAACATAAAGATCTCCAGTCATCTGGGAAAGCTTCTTTCTTTGTGTGAACACTTTCCAAAGCGTTTCCGTGGGATGATCTCAAGACCCACAGGGAACAGGCAGCCAACCCTTTCCAAGCTAGGACTCTGGGCTTAAAGGATCCCTTCCTTTCCTGCTGGCTCACTAGACTGTTTCACACAATTTAACAGGGACTGTGGAGCCCAGGGGGTGAAGACAGGCGCTACTATATGTGTAAGTTGTAAAGGCTGTCAAACAAGGGCAAGAAAACAGCCATGAAACGATGTGGTAATAACCTAATGTGTGCATTTTATATAAAACTGTGTGTGCATAAAATTTTAAGTTCCATATTATCTGATATCATTATTTCTGTGTTCTGTCTGCTTTCACTTGCTACCTTGTTGATCATTTAGTATTAAGCTCCTTCTATCATTTTAAATGTCATATATATATATATATCATGGAATTGTGTTTTGTAACCCAATCTAAAGCCTATCTTTGAAGGGAGACTCCAGCCCACTCGTGCATTTGCTGTTCCTTCTATCTCATTTTGTGTTGATGGCTGATGGGACACTGTTGTTTATTCTTGCGTTTGCCAGTTTGACCAAGTTGCTGAAAATTCCATATTCTCCCTTACTAATTTAGAAGTTTTATTAAATTTTTCTGTTCTATTAATGATAAACTTTCTTTTCAATAATCTTATAAAGTGTGATGTTTTTACTATTATTTGCAAACAAGATACTAATCACCTCCAGAAGAAAATATGTCCTGCAGAGTGAAGCTCCATCCTGCACCTTTCTTACAGGGACGAAACCCTCACAACATTTCTGCTGCCTCCCTTACTGCCACATCTCACAGGCCAGCCCTGAGCATGTGTGCACTCTACTCCCACCCACACTCTTTGCCAACACCAATGGTTGCTGCAACTGACATACTGAGCTAGTATTAACATTTCTCTTTGGCACATCCCTTCTACTGTGGAGTACTGGATACCTCAGCCCATGTCTGTCCTTTCTGGAATAGTTATACATAAACAGACATACTGAATTAAACACATGTCCATGCTTGTATGGGAAGGCAGGGGGGCCAGGGAAGAGGGCAGTGTGAGGGGCAGGCATGTAGCAGGCAGACCTGCCATCCTCCTCTGGATGAACTGCATCCTTCAGGACTTACTTACAAGGACCTGCTAACTATGAACTCAGTTTCCATTTTTCTGCAAGTCTTTGTTTCACCCTCATTTTAGAATATTTATGCTGGGTACAACATTCTAGACTGGTAATTATTTTCTTTTATCACACTGCCAATATTATTCCACTATTTTGTTTCCCACTTGGTGCTGAGAAGCTGGTCATACTGTCACTCTCCCAAAGGTAACCTTTGTTCTCTAATTGATTTTAATATTTCTCTCTGGTTGTTTCTGTTTTTTTTGTCTGTTTTTGCAGTTTTACCATTTACTCTACTTTGGGTTTGCTGGAATTTTTGAATCTGTGATTATTCATCAGTGCTGGAAAATTCTCAGCCATATACTCTTCAGATTTTTCCTCTGTTTCATCTTCCTCCTCTTCTGGAACTCTAGTCATACACACACTAAACCACCACCTCTACTCTCCATATTGCTTAGCTTCTCTAACTTATTTCCTGTGGTTGTGTATCTGTGACACATGCAGGCTGTTTCTTCTCACCTATTATTTCAGTTGTTAGGCTTTCATTTATCAAAATCAGTTTGCAACCTCTGAGGCTGAAGACTAAGGGGTCCTCCTCTGGGAGGACTTAAAGTCACCTCTGTGGGTGCCAGGAGCACCATCCATACAGGCCACTTTAAAGTCAAGGTGTGTCTTTCTGGATCACCCCACTGCTGGAACTGTGGGCCTCCTGAGGCTCGGCCTCCCTCACGTTCTCCCCATCATGATTCCCAGGCCTCAGCCATCAGCTGAACAAAGCTCTCAGCAGCCACTTGGCTTAGAAGAAATCGAGAGACTGGAGCTGGGGGTAGAGAAAAATGGAGCCATGTTGAGGTTGCCCTGTTTTTGGAATCCTTGACCTGGCTTTGAAAAATTGCATGTACAGGTAAACGTTAAAACAGCACATTCCAGCAGGGCATGGTGGCACATGCCTGTCATCCCAGAACTTGAGAGGTTGAAGCAGGAGGACTGCTATGAGTTCAAGGCCAGCCTGCACTATATAGTGAGACCCTGCTTCAACCTCCCAACTTCCTCTAAAAAAGCCCAGCACACTCTGTGGTAGAATTTTGTTTGTTTGTTTGTTTCTTTTGTTTCTTTCCAGTACCGGGAATCAAACTCATGACCCTGTACTGCCAGGCAGGAGCTGTGCCGCTGAGCTAAATCCCCTGCCCCCTGTGGTAGAATTTTTAATTAGTACACTATAATGAGTTTATTTTGCTTATATGACTTTAGCAGCATAGTTCTGAAAGACTAAGAAAGTGAAATACCAAAATTAGATTATTAGGTTATAAAGTTAAACCACACTGTAACACAGCACAAGGAAATAATTTTTTCCCAAATTCAAAACCAGCTAGACATGGACCTGAGATAAAATAATCTCTCACATTCAGGTATAGCTGTACAGCCAAGAAGGAGGTACTTACCCTTGTAAAGCCAGCAGCGATGAAAGGCATCACAGACAACTCTTCTTTATCCATCCTTAAAAAGAATATAGCAAGAGTGAGACATGGTTTTTGTCAATGACATCTCACCTCCTGCATGGGTACTAGTTTACATAATATTTTTAACTGTCATATAATGAGTACTTTTAGACGAATTAGGCTAATATGTGAATACAAAGTTGAAAACAACTTTCTGCTTTGATTTCATGTTTAGTTTTTTAAAAAATATATTATTATAACACTTTTTTTTGAGATAGAGTTTCACTATGTTGCCCTGGCTGGTCTCAAACCAACAGTGAGTTATTCTCCTGCCTCAGCCTCTTGAGTGCTGGGATTACAGGTGCGTGCCACTGTACCTAGCTATTATAATATTTGAGATACAGAAATTACATTAACAGCTGGAACAGAGCTGTGTCCAAATATCTATTTAATATTTAAATATTTTAAACAAAATCAAATTCTCTGATATTTTTCTACTTCCAGTTTATTATTTTTTTAAAATCCAACGGGGGTGGTGGCATATCTAATTCCAGCACAAGGCAAGGGGTGGGATGGAGGGTAAATGAGGATCACGAGTTTGAGGCTAGCCTGGGCAACACAGGAAGACCCTATTTCATAAAAAAAAACCCTTTCACACAGCTCTGGGAAAAAAAATTAAAGGACAAAGAAACATTTCTTCTATCTATAAAAACATGTAAGCTAAGTAATATTATGTGAATACTTGCCATCTCCCTCGGTATTTCCCTTTTTACTTTACTTCAACTTAGAGAAAAGATCCTTTCCACTCATGCATAACTCCAACCCTCAGAGTACCTAAAGTTAGAGAGTGCTACGATGACTGCCCTGGAAACTCCCACTTTCAGAAGGCCATTCCCTCACGGCTTGCCTGGTCCTATAGTGACTTAAAATCAGGAAACACAACTCGCTCTGTCAACTTAACTGGAGAAGCAAAACGAAAATACAAGAATGAAGAAAAGTCCAAATCTCAAAGGGACACCCGTCACAGCAGGCAGGCCCCAGTCCAGCCCTGTCAAGCAAGACTTACACTGACACTTGCATCTCAACACCAAAAATGGGGCTGGGGATTTAGCTCAGCAGCACAGCACCTGCCTGGCAAACGCGAGGTCATGAGTTCGATTCCCAGTACCAGAAAAAAAACCAAAAACCAAAACCAAACACCAAAAACCCAAGAAACCAAACCCCACAACAGCAGTTTACCTGCGTACGACACCAACAATAACTGTATTTTCTGAGAGTTTTGATGATCTGATGGACCTTAGAAAAACAAAAAAATGTCAATAAAAACAATTTTTTAACCATTTACCAGCTCAATTATTTAAATACAGGATGCCCAAACCGTGCCTGTTTTTTCATTAATTTTACAAGGTAACAAGAAATATAAAAATGACAATTTTATCAAATTTATTCAATAATTTTTCTGTGTGTAGTATATCTTAACATTCAATATACAACACAATGGTACAATCTGAACAATGCTATCTAGTCTCTTTCTGAATTATTTTTGCATTGTTGTCTTTGTTTGAGCAATACACTTAACACTGTTGTGTTGGCCTTTCCTTTTTTTCTGTGGCTGGTATAATTTCAATAAAACATCTCTCCACTAAGTGTCCTGGTTGGAGTTTTGCTGTCCTGTATTTTTCAATTATTTGGCCTATTAGACCTAACCTAAATTGTAAATTAATTTTAATCCCCATTTTGAATAAACAACAAACAAGTTCCATATTGTTTGATCCAGAAGGTACATAAGTATAATAATATTTTTCCTTGCTTTTTGATTACAGGACAGCTTGTTGGTCAACTCTGTCAACACTGCCCATGGAATTACTATAACCATTAACCACTACTGGAATTTTTTAGTTTCATTTCTTCTTTCAAGTTCTATCATTTCTTTCTTTCTTTTTCTTTTCTTTTTTTGGTACCGGAAATTGAACTTGGACCTTGTGCTTGCCAGGCAGGTGCTTGTGCCATCTCCCCGGCCTAAGTTCTATTATTTCTGCATTATGAACAGTTGACCATAAGGAGACTCCTTTTTTGTCTTCCCTTTTCATAACACAGACTTTTTCTCTCTGTTATGCTAGCATCTCTCCCTTTTCAGCTTTTTCTTTTGCAGATCTTTTGGCACTTCCTTCCTGTTGTCTTAGGGTCCCACACGTGTCCGTTTCATATTATAAAAGAGTATTACAGAGTCCTGGAGAAGTATAAAAATTACATCTAATGTACTTATCAAAAGTTTTCATAGGTTGTAGCACAAAATTATAGGTTACTTTCACAAATAAAATGAGCACAAATTAAGCCAGGTATAGAGGGGCACACCTGTAATCTCTGCACTCAGAAGACTGAGGCAGGAGCATCCCTGCAAGTTCAAGGCCAGCCTTCACTACAAAGTGAGTCCAAGGCCAGCCTGAACTGCATAGTGAAACCTTGTCTCAAAAAGACCAAAAAAAAAAAAAAAAGAAAAGAAAAGAAAAAAGAAAAAGAAAAAGAAAAAAAAGAACTGAATCAATAAAAAAGAAAATAACCAGAACTTATTACTAGATTTCATTGGAAACAAACATCGAAGACAAACACATTCTAAATAAGAAAGTATGCAAAAAACAGTCTCTATAAAACAAACAGACATGTGAACAAGAATTGATAGGCTGAAATGATGCCTGCCTGAGCAACACTTGGGATAGTCAGTACATAAACAAACAATTACATAAACTGCCAGAATGACACTGGGGTAAACTGGTAAGTGGTTAAATATATTAAATATATTAAACACTTTGGTAGAACAATTAATGTTGGGGTTTACAGGGTGAAGAGAAGATCCCCTTACATTTTGGATTCACCATTGTGCCTACTTGATCTTTCTCTCTGGGAACAAACTCCTAGCCAGTGGACTGTAGCAAGCAGCAAGCACAGAGTCTGAGCGTACACCTAACTCAGGTGACTGATGTGCTGCCTCTTTGCTCTGGTCTTTGTTAGCCCAGGTGGCTTCAAGTGGAGAACTCTCCCTACTTCGTGCTTATATGAAAAGGGCCACAGCTCCGTCTCCTCCCACTGGAGGGATACGCAAGGTCGTGTGTATGACCATAGGCTGACAGCCATACAGGAGCTCAAGGGCCAGCTCCTCTCTGTACTCTCAGCAGTGCAAAGGATGAAGAGTTCCTAGGAAAAGTGGAGGCAAAAGTACCCTTCACAAACCCCAAAGCAGGAACCACAAGGTAAAGTTAGCACTTAGAGAGAAGAGAATCAACCCTGCCAGATGTGAAGACCAGAGGCCTGGCGAAGAGAAGGCTCTGCCCCATCCAAGAGGGTTACCAACCCTTTGGGAGAAGCCACTTCAGAGACCACGGGGCACAAACACAGCCAGAAGGTCAAGGAGAGCAGACATAAATGCCACACAGAGGTGAAGATGAAGAAAAGTCCTGAACTCTCCCTCCACTCTTAGCCCCTTTCTTCTGAAGAGCTGAGCCTGACCAGAAACCAGTGATACGGGAACGAGGGGCATGGGGCTAAGGAAGAAAAGTCCTGAACTCTTCCTTCGAAAAGACAGTACAGCTGTCAGAAGAAGATCCAGGCTGCTAGAGAGGAAAGAATTTGGCCCCAGACAGAGGAAGACAACACACTGGAGAGGTACTCAGCAGGACGGCAACAGAGAGGACCACTTCCAGACAGCCCTGGTCAAAGGAGAAGGGTGTTGGGCCTCCACAGAACACGTCTAGGATGGGACAGAGACCAGATGGGACGACCATGTAACTTCAGCTGTGCTAGCAGCACGAATGCAATTAGTTCAGGAAATAGAACCACTTTTGAATCACAGAACATAGAAAATAACTATTTCCCAATTCTCCCCAAAATGGTACAAAACATAACTGTATCAGATACCTAAGAAAGATGCATCATATTAGCAAGCTTTTCCTGTAATGGGCCAGAGACTAAACATTCAAGGCTTTGTAGACCATATGGATTCTCACCAACCCTGAACTACCTGAGTGGATCAGTGCAGGAGGAATGGAATCAGAAACTACACTCGAATGGGCAGAGGGTGCTCTTTGCAGTCCCCTGCCTTAGGGCATTCGGACTGAGAAAAGGCTGAGTCTAGAAACCGATGCAGAGGCCTGGAGTGGCAGAGTTAACTGCTCAGGAATAGAAGGGCAGCTGCAGGATCAGCAGTCCGTCATGGACATGTACCTCATCTCTCCTTCATTCTCTCCCTCTCTTGAACACTCCTGCTTTTCCCAGTGCCCACTCTTCTCCTCTCCAGTGGGGACCAACCCTCAGACATTGCATGGCTGTATTAAAGGGTCTTTCCTAACAGCTGTCCAACCCTGGTCTCCCCACCTGGAGAAAAGCCAGGCTCTGCTTTCTGCACAAGGGCCAAGGGAAGCCAACTCAGGACTGCGAGGGTCACCAGTGTCTCTTCTGGTATTTATGTTTCCTTGATATCAGAGATTTGAGATGAGGAAAGGGAGATTTAAATATGCAGCCAGCCACCTCAAGCAGCACTCAGCTCTTCAGAAGAAAAACATACTTAAGTGGTACCATGGCACACAGGCCACCAGGCAGAAGATCTCAGCAGGTGCTTTGGATGCCTGACCAGAAACCAGTGATATGGGAACAAGGGGCATGGGGCTAAGGCAGCAGAAAGGAAGCCCATGCTTGCAGAGGGATAAAGTCTTCAAGGGAGCTCTGAAGCTGTGTAAAAAGGCAGAAGTGTATTCTTGACTTTTTCTAATGCCTAAGAGCAAAAAGTGGCTATAAAAATGGACACATCAGGAACCTGGCTTGAAAAATAACACTCCTGCTTTAGAATCATGAGCATTAGGAAAGGATTGACTTGGCACTGTCAAAACACACACATTAGGAGGGCAGACTTCAAGATGGTCAGGAGAGAGATGGGCACAGCCCTGCAGCAATCTGAGCAGCTAAAAACCATGCTGCTTCATGCGCTGCTACATGTGAAGAAAACCCCAAAGAAGAGTGGCTTCCACGTGCCCACCTGTCTAAAACTCCATGCTGTTTCTCAAAGAATTGACGTGGTCTGCAGCTTGGGAACTGCAGGACAGCTCTCAGGTTTCTTTCGCCTCTGCCCCTTCCCACCACATGGAAGAAAAAGCTATGGCTCTGTCTAACACGGCTCTGTACAACTCGGCCCCGCTTTCTAAATAGATGTAAGAAGTAAAGGACAAAGGGGTGCAGGGGCTGGAGCACAGGCCAGTGGCCAGCTCAAAGGCCTTGCTGTTCAGCTGGACTTCTGCCATCTGCTTCTCCAGTCAGTGCAGCTCCAGCATCCCGGACTCAACAAAACACAGAGCCTTTCCACTGCCTCCCTGTAGGGCCACTAGTACTTCAGCTTCCGAGCCTGAGGGATACTGGGCACAGCTCAGTAAAAGGGTCTTCGCTGGTTCCCCAGTCCCACAGATGCACTGGGAGTCCCTCTCCTTTCCTGTCCTACCAGCTTTGGACATATCTATGATCTTTGCTTTCTTTATTGCTATAGTCAATAGGAAAGTGGGAGGAGGCCCTGGCACTAGGAACTGCACAAGGCAACCTCTCCCCCTAACCCTAACCCTAAGCTCCATCCTACCCACAGCCTCCTATCGCCCATTCTGCTTGGGATGATGCCTGCACTGGATGCATCAGTGTCACAACAGTGGAAAGGACAGAGTCCAACGCCTTCAGCTCAGCACACTAGGTCTTAGTGATCCAGCTCCTGCCTGCACCACACTCCACACCTGCCTGTCCAGCAGCCATGCACACTGAGAAGAGGAGCCAAAACCCTGTCTATTCCTGCTCATGTTGCTGCTTCTACTTTCAAAGCTTCTGCTCACCCCACACATCCTCTTCACATCCTCTGTGAACCCTCTGACCAAGCAGGCCCTCAAAGCTCTGTACAAACCTCTTCTGTGGGCACTCATGAGCTTGTACTAAAGTCACTGCTTGTTCTCTGTGACCATTCATCCCATCTGGGCACTGATAAAGCATGCTTCTGGGTGTGTCTGGGTGGGCCTCAGGGTGTGTACTTAGGGGAATATCTGGTTCCTGGCCCCTTTCTCTCCATGCTGTTGCCCAGCTCTGCTTCTTGGTTGCAGTGGGGTGAGCATCTCTCCTCTGCCAGGCCCTTCTGCCATGCCACTTCTGTCTTGTAGTCAGCCAATCACAGACTGAACCCTCTCAAACCCAAGCCAAAATAATCCTCTCACCCTTAAATTGCAGGATTTTGTCCCAATGACCAACATATCCTCTAAAATTTAGGTGTTGCCAATATGGTAGTATTGAGGTAGGGCTTTTAAAATGTGTTTAGGCCATGAGAGCTCCTCCCTAGAAATTAGGATTGAAGTCTTCACAAGAGAGACTTCACATAGCTTTCCACTGTTCCAGAGGATACATCCCTCCCAGATGACTGAATCTCTCAGTGCCTTGATCTTGGATTTCCCAGCCTCCAGAACTACGAGAAAATTAATTTCTGTTCTCTATAAATTACTGAGTCTCATGTGACACTCTGGGTATTACTGCACAGTATGGTGACTATAGATAATAATATACTGTACATTTCGAGAAGATTTGAAAATTCTTACCATAAAGGAATGATAAATGTTTGAGGAGATAAATATGTTTAACCTGGTTTAAATATTTGCAAATATAGGCATGTATTTAACATACATGGTATCCCAATAATAGGTACGATTTTTATGTTTTTATGTATCAGTTAAAAAGGAAATTACCAAGTCTTAAGTATTTTGTTGCACCAGCACAAGACAGATACCACCCAACTAGACAATTGGTTCCTCAGAGGCAGGAACACAGTCTTCCTCATCTACACGGCATAGTACCAAATGCAGTGGTCATGAGTAAAACACACAAGAGGTCCTGAACTGGTGGATTTGGAAATATGGCAGACAAAATGCATGGCCCTCAATAAGGCATCCACGAGGAGTGCAATGAGCAGCAAGAGACAGGCAACTGGACAGGTCAGCAATGGATAGAAAACCTTTCACTAGGTATATACCTATGGACACTCTAGGGGGATGAGGCAGGACGATCCTGAGTTTGAGCCCAGCTTGAGCAATTTAGTCACTTAGCAAGACCCTGTCTGAAATTAAAAATTAAAAAAGGGCTGGAAATGCAACTCAGTGCAAAGGTCCTGGGTACAACCCCCAGTACCACAAAGAAAAACAAAAAAAACCTTCACAGGCCACCAGCGTTGATTAGGTCCTTCCAGAGGCATTCTCCCAAAGAGAAGATGAAAAGAAGGACAGCGCTTCATCAGGGCTGAGGTCTCATGGGCTGTGGAGGTCTGCGGGGAGAGAGCAAGCCTGTGGAGGAGCGGGAATCTGCAGGGTTACATGGAGAAATATATTGTCTAGGGATGGTCTGAAGGAAGATAAACCAGGTAAGGACCAGAATCTGACTTAGGAAAATAAACCAGGCCTGTTCTTGCCTCTGGAAGACTATGAATGGTACAAAGACACCAAACCCCACACTCAAGTCACCAAAGAAGATGAAAATGATTCAGGAGAGCAGAGTAGGAGAAAGACCAGATTCTTGGCTAGGGCTGCACCACAGCCATCAGGAAAGCAACATGACCAGGGTCCACATGTCTATGGGTCTGCTCACTGGCCAGCATGGGGACAGAAGGGACTCTGTTTGCCCCTCACAGCTCCATCCAAACCCATGTGGGCTTTTCTACTCTGCAGCCATCCTGCTAAGAGCCACAAACTGGAAGAGAGTCTTCAGAGCTACAGGCACCTCGATGGAGCTGGAATATGAAATTCCTCACTGCGAGGAGTTTCTGTTGGCAGTGAGGATGTGCTCAGTTTGGCAAAGCGAAGATACCCTGGCAGAGCATAATTCCTACCCTTAAATGTTAGCAGTTCATTCTGGGGAGGGGAGCAGACCCGCTCTAGCAGCCCAAATCTGGACAACATGAAGGGGAACTTATCAAACTCAGGCTTTCTACTGGCGAGGCCCTGGCCCCACTGCAGAGCAGATGCACCCTGGACTCCCTGTGCCGCTCTAGAGCCAATGTCAAGCGGCCCAGTTCCTGTTCTTTATGCTACGATTCTATGAAACAGTCGTTTCCATGAGAGGACAGATTCATACTTATGGAACTGGGTATCTGTGTGCTTTTTACTGAGTTTTATGCAATATTACCTTCTCATTTAAATACTTCAGCTCCACTAATTTATAAGCTTCTAAAAGACAAGAACTTCATTTTATTTACTTTTGGTCTATAAAATTCTCTTATACAGGGCTCAATAAAAACTTGTGAAGTGCATAAAACCTTATATGTTTAGAATATTCCTAAAATGCGTAATGATGGTACATTTTCTCCCCTTAAAAAGTGGAGCCTAATTTTATGCTATATATATTTTAGTACAATAAAAAGGTGGAGTATAACAAATACAATTTCATGTTTCTTTTATAACACAGAACGATTCAGCAGAGTTACCTTTATGCCTATAAATCTCCACTGTCCAGCACCCAGCTGTGGCTAGGTTTGGGTATGGACAAGACTGGGAAAGAGGGCAAGCCCTCCTCAGCATCCCCTCCCACCCCTGTCCTATGTCTACCTTGGTGGCCCTTTGGCCCTCCTTAGATACTTCTCCTACCTTGAGCATTCCACCAAGACTGCTATATCAGTTCTCAAGCATCACCCACTTAGATATTGTCTTTCCTTCTTCTGAGTGATATCCATTACATGTTACAGAGAGACAGGATCTTGGAAAACATGTGCTCCAAGTTTATAGTTAAGATAAAATAGGCCCAGAGAAGGCAGAATTACCCACAGCCAAGCAGCTTGTGGAAGGAAAAGCTAAGTTTCCCTCCATCCCCGCCAGAGATCTCTCTATTTCTCTCAGCAGCGTTTCCCTTGTGTCTGTGCTAGGTGACTGGCCAGATGACATGTCAAACAAATACTGGCTATGATGTTAACAGCCTACTGCAAAGTCAACAAGACTGAAACAGGCAACGAACACGGGCAGCGCTCCAGGGACCACATCAAGGCCAGAGGGAAATTCTACTGGCAGTCAATCATGCTCAGGTGAAAGCAACCTGGTCTAACTACCAGAAATGCAGGCTCTCACCACCAAGGACACAGGCATATACTGAAATCACCAAGTACCTTGCAAACAATCTTTTGATATGATGTTATCTGTTTGTCACATTAATTTTTAACTCTTGTTATATTTGGCTTAAATCTTTTCTACCTATTAAAAGTCAAGATTTTAAGCACCTTTAAATCAGGGTTATAAAATTTTACATTCCACTGAAGTTATAATTTATCTTTTCCTATTAAATGGGTATTTTTTTTTTTTTTTTGTCTTAGATACATCAGCGGCAAATAATGTTCTTTAATTTTTTTTGGTTTGTTTTTTGTTTTTTTCTGGTACCAGGAATTGAACTCACGACCTTGCACTTGCCAGGCAGGCACTTTGCCACTGAGCTAAATCTCCAGCCCAATGTTCTTTAATTTTAAAAAGCACTTTTCTTAGATTTATGTCTGTAACCCAGAATTCTTTCTTTAATATTGTGCATGTATTTATAAATAAGGCATATTTATCTAACACTAGAAGATGATTCTGAAATTTTTATTATTACTTTAAAAAATTCTAGAAAATTATAATTCTTATTGCTGAAGTATGCAGCTTATAGCTGTAGTTTATGAAATACTGGCTTTCATCTTAATCCATAATGTTTCTCTTTCATATTTTCTACTTTTTTAAACAAAGTAAAGCAAAGCAAGAAGAAAAAAAGATTAATCCTTCAAATAAGGTTTAATGTCTTGCTTAGTTACACACAGTATAAGGAAAGAGACTGATTCAACTTAACGAGTTTGCGGGCTGCCTTTATTGTCACAAATGCCAATGAGACTTTTTAGGCTTGAGTCTTGTCCTCACCTGCACAGTGCCTCTGCGTCCAGCTGTCCAGGATTCCTGTGGTCTATGATGATTATGTCATGATGCTTGTCCAGGAAGCAGGCAAGGACAGCCTGTGCCTCCTTGGTGACTGTGCACTTGAACCCTGCTTTTTCACATGCCCTGCAGAATCCATTACACTGGTTATCTTCTTTGGTAAACACTAAAAGTACCTGAATCAAAAGAGCATGGACACTTTTATAAAAAAAAAAATATATGTTGTTAGAACTATCAGTTCTTAATCATCCACAGAAAATTCCCAAATATTTCAAGGCAAGGACACAGATGTGAACACAGCAATCTGTCTGTTCAAATGCTTCTCCCTCACATAACACAAGGCCGTTATCACTCAGCTCCCCAGATGAGTGTTATTTTTATTGGTTTGTTTTGTTTTGGTGGGGGAGGGAGCAGCGTGTCTCTAAGTAGTGCAGGCTTATCTTGAACTAGCTTATGTACCCAGACTGGCCTCGAACTCACAGTGATCCTCCTGCCTCTGGCTCCCAAGTTCTGGGATTACAGGCATGCACTATCACACCTGAGAGTTTTCTTTTCTTTTCTTGTTCGGCCCTGGGAATCAAACTCAGGACCTCACACTTGCCAGGCAGGCACTGTGCCACTGAGCTATATCCCTAGGCCGAGTTTTATTTTCTATCTGCTTATAAATTCAAAGACCAAGTGCTTGAATCATGTACTTCTTTTGCTAGCAAACCCATTGGCAGAACTCAACAAAGATTTAAAGCTTTTTATCTTAAAACCGAATCCATTAAAACATACAAATAAATATTTTAGAAAACAGAAAGTTAACTGAACATACCTAGATGACAAATGCTAGTATTTCAGTGAAACTATCAGAAATCCTTTATATAATGTATAAATGTACTTTTCACTCAAAAATTACATTCCTCCAAGTTTAAAAAAAAAACACTTTGATTATAAAAGTGAAGATTTAAAGTAGACCAAAACATTGCATTTCAAAGCCTTCCAGTTCAGTGATCTAGGCACAATACCAGATAGATGAAGCAGTGTCCACACTGATGTCCAGGACAACGGCTGGCTGTCCAGGGCCTGGTCTGGATCGAGGAGGTCTGAATTGTGCCCCTCTTCCCAAATTAGCCAAAGGCTAGGAAGCACCTTTGGTCTACGCCTCAGAGCCAGGCTCCCCAATGGGGCAACAGAGGTGAGGTGGGGATGGAGTGGCCTATAACACTGAATACAAAAGAGACAGAAAGCCTCCTCCCCAGTGCTTACTTCTTTTAAGTTTACTCGTAGCACAAGCTCCACAAACCCAAGGAAATAAAGAGCATATACTTGAGTCAGCACTATCCACATTAAAAAAAAAAAAAAGTAATAGTAAATGTGTGCATCTGTATACGGGAAGCCCCAAATAACTTTGCTAAATTTCAACTGGGTATTCTTTTTTTTGAGACAGGGTCTTGCTATGTAGTTCAGACTGGCCTTGAACTCACTACATAGCCCAGGCTGATCTTAAACTCATGGTGATCCTCCTGCCTCAGCCTCCCAAGTACAACTGGGTATTTTCCCTCTTGTATTTTGGACTAGACAAATAGGTATTTTCTAATAGAACTGATTCAACAACATAGAAAAGCCTATGTTTTAATTTTTAATTACAGAAAACTTTAAGGCTGCAGAAAAGTTGTGAATGACAATGAACACTTGAATACCCTTCCTCTAGACTCCTCAGTTAGCATTTTGCCACCTTGGCTTTGCTTTCTCTCTCTGGACACACATGTATACACACAGCAAATTAAATATTTTTCTTTATCACTGAACCAACTTAAAGCAGGTTCTAGACAAGTCCTTATCTTCAAATACCTCCATGTATATTTCTAAGAAAAGGACATTCTCTTAGATAACTATAGCCCTTACTATCAAGTTTCAAGAAATTTAACACTGATGTAATACTATTATCTTAGAAGACTTAAATATTTTAAATATATAATTTTAGGTCTCCCCTCCCACGCACATACTTTATCTGACTGTAACTTGATTCATTAGTACCTGAAGTTGGTCTTGATGAAATCTCATGGGGCCAAACTGCACATCGGCTACTGCTACCTGTAAGAAAGAGATCTGCTTAAAAATGGACAGTCTTGTTTAAATTTTCTCTCTACTCAGTGCCATAGATGAAAATAAAATACTCTAGAAAAAAAATTACATAAAGTAAATAGAAAATATATAAGAAGAATTCAAGGATCACTTTATAAACCCAAAGAGAAATGGAAGCAGGAAAGGAGAAATAAAATAAAACTGATCTCAGAACTGCCATTTACTAGGTGAGTACGACCTTAAGGGAATTAGTCAACCTTTCTTGCTTTTTTTGTTACAAAGATCAAATCAGATTACAACATAAAGAGCCCCCAAAAGCTTGGTTCCTTCTGTATTTATTTTCATTTTTCTTCTGGTGGAGGATTAAATCTTATAAAATGGCACATGAATAATGCAATCCAGTAGTCAGAACCATGGGATATCAAAGTCAAAGAAACCTCTTTCAGAATTAGTGGACACTTCATTTTTCAGAGGAATGTAACAGTTCTTATCAATAGGTGCTTATCCATATGACACTAAAACACACTATGTCATAGCCAAACACACATAAGTCATAGTAATCATAACACCAACCCAGGGCTTAAGCATGTTCTAGTCACTGTGCCAAGAGCTGGACATCTATGAGCTCACCACATCTTCACAGCACTGTGATGAGAATTTACAGTTGGGAACCTAAGGTCACCCAGCGAGCAAAGACCATCTGTTTAGCTCCACACTCTGTGCTACACACCAAGGTTGCTGGGGAGGTTTGGTTGGTCTCTGTGAAAAGGAGCTGGGGGAGGAAAAAAGTAATGGCTTAATTTTAGCCCCAAGTAATGAATCTTGGCATCATTCTTCCATCCAGAAGGAGAGACACACCTTGCAATTTACCCCAAGATTCTGTATGCACTGAAGGGGTTCCCTACCCTGCCCCACGGGGTGATGGTGCAACTCGTACCTACTACAGCCAGGCAGAACTAGATCTGTAAAACTCCAAGAAAATGTTTCCTTCCCGGCTGCCCAACTCTCATCTCTCCTCTCAAAACACATGGAAAAGAATCTGCTTAGTGATGAGGGAAACCCACCTAAAAATTTAACTAGCTGATGGGAAACCCACACATAATTCTAAGAGAAGCTGAGGTCCACTAATCACAGGCCACTGGATAGCTTTCTGATTTATTTTGTAATAATTTTTTCTCTCAAAAGATGTAAGAAGAATGAGGGTCATCAAAGACTGAGGGGGAAGATCTGCTGAGAAGGTGGAAGGGTCAGGAGACAGTTGCCAGCACAGCCCATCCTCTTGGGCTGTGGACCTGTGGGCCAGCCTCATATTGCAAGGCACAGCTGGACACCAAAGCCAGAATTTCTGAAGAGAAGATGGTCCAAGAGCCCCCAGGAAAGTCTAAAAAGACAGATCTAGGGGGATATGATAGCGTGAGAAGCACTGGGAATCACTCTACCTCCTCTGGCAGACTGTGCCTAATATAACCATTTGGGGAGCTCTAGGCTCTTGTAGAGGCTGGAACTGGCAGAAGGAGGACCAGGAAGTAAACTGCAGTCAATTTCAACTCAGGGCAAGTGGCTACCCTGCCGCCGCCTACACCTGTGTCTCTGCAGGAACCTGAACACACTCTGTGGGAGCCAGGATGGGCAAAGAGGACCTGGTCCTATAAATATCCGGGATCTGTGTTCCGATCACAGACATACTGACCTAAAGTGGGCAGCAGCAAAGGGCTGTTGGGGGTGCTTATAGCTATAAATATTTATTCTAAAAAACAAGAAAGATCTCAAATTACCAAACTAACTTTACAACCTAAAGACCTAGAAAAAGAACAAACTAAGCCCAAGGCTAGCAGAAGGAAGAAAACAATAAAAATAAAAGCAGAGATCAGTGCAGGAGAGAACAGACAACAGAAAAATCAATGAAACAAAAAAATTGGTTCGTAGGGAAAAAAATCAACAAAATGGCAAAGCTTTAGCTATATGACTAAGAAAAAAGGGAAGAAATTTAAATTATTAAAATCCCCACTGAGCTGGGTGTGGTAGTACACACCTATAATCCCAGCACTCGGGAGGGTGAGGCAGGAAGATTGCTGCGAGTTTGAGGCCAGCGTGGGTTACAAAATAAGTTCAAGGTCAGCCTGAACTGATAGTGAAACCCTGTCTCAAAAAGATTAAAAAAAAAATCACAACTGAAACTGAGGATATTACCTCCAAGTTTATAGAGAGAAAGAGGATTACAGGAGACTACCACAAACAACCGTACTCCAACAAACTGGATAACCTGGATGAAATGGGCAAATTCCTAGAAACATAAAACCTATTAAGATTAAGTGACAAAGAAACAGAGAATTTGAACAGATCTAAAACTAGTAAGGCGCTTGAGTCAGTAATCAACAATCCAGCAAAACAAAGAAAGGCAAAAGATATAATGGCTTCATAGTGAAGTCTATCAAACATTTAAAGAATTAATACCAACCCTCAAAACTTTCCAAACAATGAAGGAAAGGGACTACTTCCTAATGCATTCTGTGAGGCCATTATTACCTGTTATCAAGGCTAGGCAAAGACACTGCCAGAGAACTACAGGTCAACATTCCCTTAAGAACACTGATGCAAAAATTCTCAACAAATACTATAAATTGAATTCAGTGGCATATTAAATGGTTCTATACACTATGATCAAATGGGAGTTATTATTGGGAATCAATCAATATAACATACCCATTAACAGAATGAGGGAGAAAACCCACATGATCATCTCAGTTGATGCAGAAAAGGCATCTGATGAAATTCAATATTTCATGACAAAAAATACTCAGCAAACTAAGTATAGGAGGGAACTACCTCAAAACAGTGACAGCTATCTATGAAAACATAATAATGAGGACTGAACTTTTCCTCTAAGATCAGAAAGAAAAAGCCTTCTTTTATCACTTTTATTCACATAGCACTGGAAGTTCTAACTAGAACAACTAGGCAAGAAAACTAATAAGGTACCCAAAATGGAAAAAGAGGAGTAAAATTACCTGGGTTCCTAAGTGATATAATCATATATATAGAAAACCCCAAAGATTATGCAAAAATCCTGTTGGAACTAATAAATGAATTCAGCAATGTAGCATGATACAAAGGCAACACACAAAATCAAATCCATTACTGTACACCAACAATGAACAATGTGAAAAGGAAAGTGCCAAAACAATCCACATGTAATAGTATCAAAAAGAATAAAATACTTGACATAAACAAATGGAAACATATCCCACAGTTACGGATTGGTAGATTTAATACTGCTAAGATATCAATACTATCCCCAAAGCAATCTACATGTGGAGTGGAGTATCTATTAAAATTTCAGTGATTTTTTTGCAGAAATAAAAAAATCCACCCTAAAATCATATGGAATCTCAAGAAAACCTGCATAACCAAAACAACCTTGAAAAATAACAAACCTGTAAGACTCACGTTCTGATTTCAAACTTGTTATAAAACTACAGTGTTCAAAGCAATGTGGTAGTGGCATAAAGACAGACACACTGTATAGACTAATGGGTTTAAGTAAGGCCAGAAGTAAATTCTTACATACATGGCCAAGTGATTTTTTTTTTGTTTGTTTTTCTCTGGTACCAGGAATCGAACTCACGACCTTGTGCTTACCAGGCAGGCGCTGTGCCGCTGAGCTAAATCCCCAGCCCCGGCCAAGTGATTTTTAACAAGGGTGCCACAGCCATTCAGTGGAGGAGGGGACAGTCTGCAGAAAGTGGGAAAACTGTATCCACATTCAGAGTGAAGCTGGATGCTTACTTAAAGCTATATCAAAATGAACTCAAAATGGATCAAAGATCTACCTGTAAAACCCCAAATATAAAACTCTTAGAAGAAAAGAGCAAAAACTTCAAAATAATGGATTTGGCAATAATTTCTTAGACTTGATACCAATGGCACTGGCAGTGAAAGAAAAAATTGACACACTTCATCAAAATTTTAAAACTTTGTGCATCAAATGATAGTATCAATGGAGTTTAACAGGTAACCCACAGAATAGGAGAAACTATTTCATATCCAGCATATATGGAGAACTCCTACAACTCAAGAATAAACAACCTGCTCCAAAAATAGGCAAATACTCAAGTAGACATTTGTTAAAAGATGTACAAATGGCCAATAAGTACGTGAAAAGATGTCCAATATCACTAATTATGAGGGAAATATGAATCAAAAGTATACACCACCTCACCTTCATTAAGATGGCCACTGTTGACGGGCATGGTGGCACACGCCTATAATCCCAGCACTAGGGAGGCTGAGGCAGGAGAATCGTTGCAAGTTTGAGACCAACCTGGGCTACAAAGGGAGCTCAAGGCCAGCCTGAATGCATAGCGAGACCCTGTCTCAAAAAGATCAGAAAAAAAGATGGCCACTGTTAAAAAAACAGTTAATAACCAGTGTTGGCAAGGATGTAAAGAAAATAGAAGTTGTGAACACTGTTGGTAAAAATTTAAAATGATACAGCTTCCATGGAAAACAGTGGTTAAGTCTGCAGAGCACTGACTAAATCACCAGATGGTCCAGCAATCCCACTCTGGGTGAATGCCCAGAAGAAATGAAAGCACCAGTACTCAGAAGGCTGATGCAGAAGGATCACAAGTTCAAGGTCAGTCTGGGCAACTCAACAAGACTTTGTTTCAAAATAAAATATAAAAAGGGTTGGAAATTTATCTCAGTATGAAGGTCCTGGGTCCAATCCCCAGTACTGCTAAATAAATAAGAAACGCAAGCAGTAATTCAAACAGATATTTGTACAACCAAGTTCACAGCAGAATTATTCACAACACTGAAATAAGGAAGTAACTCATATCTATCAACAGACGAATGGATATGGTACATAAAAAGGTACAAAATTAGTTGGGCATGATAGCACATGCCTGTAATTCCAGCAGCTGGGAGAATAAGGCAGGAAGAACACAAGTTTGAGCCCAGTCTGGGCGACTTAGTGATTTTTGAAGACCCTGAATAAAAAAATTTTC